TGGATCCCCGGGACCGGGCGGCTCCGGGGCAGCCCCGTGGCCGGTGCTGGTCACCCAGGGCCAGCCTGCAGTGACTTCCTCTGAGAGCAGAGGAAGAAGCTGGGTCCAGGATCAAGACTTGTTTAGGACCAGCTCTTACTGAGTTGAGCCCCTGGTTGGCTGTGGGATGAGCTGGAGGATGGGTGAGATGGAGGGGTGAGATGAGGGGTGGATGAGCTGGGTGTTCCCAGAACTCATGGTGGTGAGGGCCAATGTCAGCCCTGATCCTTTACTGGACCAAGAACTGGCAGCCTGGGTCTGCCCCATTCCCAGCTCCCAAGAGGTATTTTTCGGGTTGTCTGCCTGCTACATGCCCCAAACCCATCCCGTTGCTGCCTTCTTGCCCCCAGCAATGGCCGACGAGCTCAGCGACCTGCTGCGGGAATTCGAGGAGGTGATAGAGGACTTTGGGAAAGGCCCTGCACGTCAGTACGAGCAGCACCTGGAGGAGCTGAAGAGGAAAGCGGGGCAGAGCGTCTACGACAGCGGCATCGAGGAGCTGGAGAGTGAGTTTGGGCCCGGGGGTGGATGGTGCCCATCAGGATGAAGTCACTCTGGAGTTCCTCAATGGCAAACCACAGAGCTTCCTACTGGTCCTGTCTCTGAGCCTGACGCGTCCCTCCTAGACCGGGTGGAGCTGTGACCACTGGATCCTGGCCCTGGACCTGCCAGCATCTGCAGGGCTGCAGGGACTGGAGATAATGGGACCTCAGAGGGCACCGTTTCACTGCAATAACTCCATGCCCAGGCAACCTCTGGGGCTGTTTCCCTGCTCAAGAAGCTCAGTGCCCTTTTTCCATGAGTCCCTTGCAGCAGGGGAAGGAGGGGCCAGGAGGGGAGGTGGTCCTGGGACCCCAGGAGGCTGCAGGCCCAGGGACCAGCTCATCTCTGAGGTGGCCATGGGCTGTGATGGGTGCTGTGTCCACAGGTACCAGCGCATCCCCGGGAAGCAGCCTGAGCTCCAGCGAGGAGGACCTCAACACCCCTGCAGGTGCATACCCCCAGAAAGGTGAGGCTGGGAGCACTGACAATGTCAGCGGGGTCCTGGAGGTGGGAATGAGCCCATAGGTCCTGGAAGAGGCATAAAGTGGGGCTGGCATGTTCCCAGTCAAGGCTGAACCTTAAATTTGGGGGGGGTCACAGAGAGGGGTCAGAATCAGTCCTGGGGTTTTCCTTCCTTGAGCACCATCCTTGATAAGACCCCGTGATCTGTGTGTACACTGGGGACCCCCTGCCCTGGGGATGGGCAATGCTGGGGCTGCTCTGAAGCCCCCCCATGCCAGGCAATGGTGCAGGCTGCAATCACCCCAAGATGCACCCACCCGTGGGGATAGGGGTGCTTGGTGGGGGCTATTCCTGAGCAGCCCCCCATAACCCTCTCCCATGGCTGCCAGGCAGCTCCTGGAGCAACTGTGGTGAGAAGCGAGGGGTAGGGGTCTTAATAAGACAGAGATAACAATATAGGGGTCTTCACTGTCCCGAATTGGAGCTGGGGGGGATAGAAGGGCACTGATGGTGTTTCTCCCTGCAGCAAAGCTCGGAGACACGCAGGAGCTGGACGAGTTCATTGCGGACCTGGATAAAGCGCTGGCGGGTGCGTACACAGCTCCGTGCCCCGCTCCCACTTGCGTACACAGCTCTGTGCCCCGCTCCCACTGTGGAGGGCTCGCAGCCTGGTTTGGGGTGCAGGGCTGGAATCCTTCTGTTTTTTGGGAAGGGTCACTTGGCTGTCACCCCCCATCCCCTGAGGAAGGTGGGGATGGGTACCTCTGGCAGATTTACGCAGTCCTGTGAGGTCCCCAGTAGCTTCCTTGCTGGGGAAACTGAGGCAGAGTCACAGTTCCTCTCCACAGGGCTCCCTGGTGATGGGTTGGAGGCAGAGAACTGGGTTGTTTTAAAGAAATGGAAACACTTCCCCCTAGACAGGCTGCACGAGTCCCAGTTCTCAGTTTCTGTTCCCATCCCTTTTGAGTGTCCCAAATGAGGTGGGAAGCATGGGCCATACTGGGAGGCAGCAGAGCAGGAGCCCCCTAGCAGATTTCTGCCCTAACCCTGCTGCCAGTGGTGCCTGGGGGGGTGCAGGGCAGCCCCCTCCTCCCAACCATCATCTCACCCATCTCTTTTGTCCTCCCTTGGTTGTCCTGCAGAGATGTGAGATGCGGTTTTGGTGGCGAGAGGACCCACAGCAGGCGAGTCCCGCACCGCCCTGGCTCCTGTGCCCCCGTCACCTCCTCGGTGCCATCTCTGGGTGCCATCTCTCCTGCCTGCGCTGCTCTGTGAGAGTTGGGGGCTCTCCCTGCCAAGGGGGGCTCTCAGCTCTTGTGACTGAGGGGAGTTTTTTTGGGGAGCGGGAGGGGTCTATGATGCTGTTGAAGCCAGAGGAGAAACCTCTGGGGTTTTTTTAGGGAAGATCAGCTTGGACAACATCAGGGGGACCTCAGTGGCCCCTCCTGGGCCAGGAGAGCCCGGGCAGTGACCACCACCACCGACCCCTCACTTTACATTGGGGGGTCAAACAAGGCCACTTCCTGCAGCCCCGTGTGTCTCTGGCCACCGCTGTAAATAGTGTAAAAATGGGCGTTATGCACTGTACAGAGGGGATGGGGGGGTTATAAAATGGGATTTGGAGTCTCTGGGCTTGTCTACGTGTGTGTCCGGTTTTTGGATGGACGGGGAGGGGAGCAGGGATGGATGGAGAGGGATGGAGGGCAATGGGGATGGAGGTGGGGGGGCAGCAGGGATGGATGGAGGGGGGCAGCAGGGATGGATGAAGGGGGGTGGCAGGGATGGATGGAGGGAAGGTGCTGCCGATGAGGGAACAGCCCAGGAGGGAGTTTGCCCTGGGGCAGCTGAGCTTGGAGTGAGGTTTGGTGAGCGGTGCCCTGCACACCCCGATGTTTGCCCCCCTAGAAGCTGCCCTTTGAGCAGTGGGGGTCCGGGAGGGACTGGGGATGTGGGGCTCTGCACGTCCCTGGGCTGGCAGTGCCCCTTGCCCTGCCTTGCCCTGTCTGCGGGGCCACGTGTGGCTCTGTCGCAAGCGTCTGAGCAGGAAACGGGGCGGTTTTGGTGTCTTCCCTCACCCCGGGTGCTGGTCAGGGGGATGTTGGTCACCCAAATTGCCCGACAGGGCTCAATGCTGGGGCAGAAAATTGCTGGAAGTGTTAATTCTGTGAACACAAGTGCTCAGGAGGACGTCCTGGGCTGGTCGTGCGTGGGGATGCTTTGTCACCCATGATGTTGGGGAATTGACCCGTGATGCTGGGAGATCCACCCATGACGGTGGGAAATCCTCCCACTTTGCAGAGACACTCACCCACGCCAGTGGGGACCGTGGGACTGTCCCTGTGTGCAGCAACCCCACTGTCACAAGGTTTTTTCCCCTCTGAGTCACTCACGCAGGCGTTTCACCCATGAGATCCAGCTCTGCTGCTGGTATTTATCCCACCCATGGCCCTTGCTGCCTCCAAAGGGGATCTCACCATGCACCCCCCCCCCACCCAGCAGCTCAGGCCCTGCCTGGGTTTTTGTGATGCTGGGGAACTCCAGGGGTGCTGCTTGTCTGCAAGCGTTGCTACGCAGCTGC